AGGGGAAAGGATAAACCTAAGAAACTATTTTTTAAGTTTTTCTTTTTCTGGCGCCACTGAGCTAAATCCCCAGCTAAGAAATTTTCAAAAATTCAAATCTGGATTGCCAGGCATGGTAGCTTACAGCTGCAATTCCAGCACTCGGGAGGCTGAGGCTGGCGGGTCCCTGAGAGTTTGAGGACAGCTTGGACTAACTACATAGTTGTGATCTTGACTCAGAAAAAAATCAAATCTTGTTTTGAAATTTTATTCTCCAAGCAAACTGCTATACACTGCTACATTTCAGAAACTGAGGTCGGGCTGCAGCAGTTTACTTAGGCAAGTGGTTTCTAAGCCCATACCTCCGGTGGGGCAGTGTGGAGAAGCACCATCAGGACTCTGAACAGTGAGCTCTGGTGACAAAAGTCCAGGCAAACACAACCCAGAAACTTAAGAACAGCACTGTAAATAAGGCACGGCTTTACAAATACATGTTTCCCAGAGGAACTTCCTCTGTCTACTCTACCTTGCATGGGGCCCACCATTCATTTGTGTTAATTTAAGAGGGTGCATTTTTGTGAATTAGGGATCAAAGCCTGGGAAATTCTGCTAGTGGGCTATGGGCTATGAGAGCAGGGAGGCAAAGGGCAGGGTGTTGGAACCTGAGCAGCTCCTGCTCCCTCCTGCCGCCCGGCACGCATGGCCCAGCCAATGCACTCTGCTCACCGCTCCTGCTCAGCAGAGCCAGATGGCTTGGTAGCGTCTTCTTGGGACCAAAGGGGCCATCAAAACTGCCCCAGAAATTGCCCGTGTGAACTGCAAGGTTTCCAAATACGGAATCAAAGGGGGACACCTATTCACTGTTACCACTCGGGTATAAGGAGTCACGCACTGCTCACAATCAGCTTATGTTGGGATTTGTGTCCTTAGGAACATCAGGGTTCATCCTTCCCTCTTCCCTATGGCTTTTACTAGAAACTGTAATATGGCCAGTTAAAGGCCACATTCCCCAGACTCCCTTGCAGCTACCTCTGGCCAAGTGACTCAGTTCTGGCTCAAATGGAAGTGTCTCTGCCCCAAGGGAGCGAACACATCCCTTGGCCCCTTCAACCTTTTCACTGGCTGGATAAGGATAAGATATCTGTAGCTCAGGCAGTCACAGTGAACTAGGAGGTGGATGTGCTGGGAACACAGCAGGGGCAAAACAAAAGGAGCTTGGTCCCTGGCTCCTGGGGCCAACCTCCCTATCTCTCCTATCTCATTTAAACCACTACTATTTGCATTTTCCTGTCCCATGTAACAAAACTTAGTCCTAACTGGCTGGCACCATCTGCTTTATCCAGCACTCTGTGCTAGGGTTGCAGGGAATGCACAGGTTCCAGGCTTTCAGCACACAAGGGCTTGGCAAGAAGGTTCTGTCTAGGGACAAAGGGAGCACCAAGAAGCCTGGCTTGGGAACCTCGGGAGGAGGGGAGGAGGGGAGGAGGGG